GTGTGTGTGTGTGTGTGTGTGTGTGTGTGTGTGTGTAAAGTTTGGATGGAGAAGAAAAGATTATATTGTTTTTTTTACATATAGCATCTATTTTTCTTTCTATTGCACTTGTAGAAACATTATTTTTTTCTTTTTTTTTCACTGGAACCTATAATATAAAAAAGCTTTTTTCTTAATTATTGAAAATGATTTGATGTTTTAGCTGTATCTATTTGAATGCTTTCTGTGTCATTTTCATTATGCATTAAAGATGAGATTGAATCATCCTCAATGTTAAACAATATTATATTTATGTTAGACAATGTGCTGTAATGTTTGTAATTATAATTACTCAAAAATTTTAATATATGATTAATATGATGTTTTTTATTTTCTTTCTATATTTACTGAAACAAATATTAATATTTTTAATATTTTTTAGATGATGGCACAACTATTGTGAGACGAAGCAATATAAATAACGTGGAACAATTAGTAGATGAGCCGTTTTATGATAACTGTGGAAGTAAGTAAAAAAACAATCTTAAATATAGAGAGATCATCTTTCTAAAAATAATTTTTTTAGATAATATTGTACACATATCCCAAAAAGGAAAACGAAAAGTTTCTGGACAAGTAAAACAAATATCTAACAAACGTTCAAAATTAAATGATAGCGCAGGAAACAAATTAAATTTTGATGATGTGGAATTCTTAATTCTTGAAGTGGAAAAACGCCCACCATTGTGGGATTATTCTTTACCTTTGCTACAACGCAAATCTACAATAAAACAACGGTTGTGGTCAGAAATAGCTTTGGCATTAAATGGTGAGTATAAAAATAATATAAAAAATATTTAAACAAAATAATAAATTTATATTCTTTGTAGGTAAAATAAGTGCAGAAGAAACGCAAAAAAAGTTCAAATCATTGCATGATACGTTTCGCAAAATCATACAATCAGAACAACGAATGAATGGATCTCCTAGGAAGGACACAATCCAAAAATGGCCTCATTATCTCATTCGATGAGTTTCCTTAAAGACTCTTGTCTTCAAAAAATGTAAGCATAAATATTTAAAAAAGACCAAAACCCGTGATTGAAAACGTCTTGACATTTAATCTGACCAAAACCAATGGTCGATTTGTCACGACACTAATAGCCAAACGTTGTCGACTATAAAAATAGATTTCTCGTTAATCAACTATTGGCGGAACAAACATATACTTTTCTATAAGTAATTTAAATTTATTAAATAATTATATGACATATATATTATTTGATTAATTCTAAATAATATTACAGCACGGTGTCTAATATAAATAATGATGATTCAAACTTATCGTTAATGGATGATGAAGATAATGCAGAAAGCATCCGAACAGGTACAGTTGTTGAACCATGTCAAATTATTATATTAAAAATAATTAAGATTAAAAAAAAATAATTTTTTTATATTCTAGATTCCAGTAAAGGAAAAAAGAAGAAAACAAATGATGGGTCGACAGATGCGATAGAGAGAATTGCGGACGCTATTTGTCAAGAAAAGAATATAACCTTACCTCCACCACCAGAACCTGACGAAATAGATTCTTTTTTAAGTTTAGTGGGATTTAGATTACAGAAAATGCCACCAAAGACTAGATTAGAAATAATGCAAAACGTATTACAATTAACGTATGAAAGAATTATCCAAGAAAACGTTTATGAATAATATTTTATATAAAAAGCAACATACAATAAGGTTTTTTTTCCGAAAAGCAATTCAAATCTACATAACGTGCATTACTCGAATATAAGAATATTTTATTTTTTGTTTTATGGTCAATGTTTATTATTAAATAATATATTTACATTTAGTAAATATATTATTTAATAATAATATATTTATGAAAACATTTATGAATAACATTTTATATAAAAAGCAATATAGAATAAGATTTTTTTTTTTGAAAAGCAATTCAAATTTGTATAACGTGCATTACTTCAATATAAGAATATTTTATTTTTTATTTTATGGTCAATGTTTATTATTAAATAATATATTTACATTTAGTAATCTTTAAAATGTTTGAATAAATATTTAAATGTTTCTAAATAAACTAAGTTGAATAACTGGTTATCAGAGGTTTTATTTCATTCCAACCCAATGTTTACATTTTTTAAAATATTTGTCATAATTATTAATTTTTACATTTTTATTTAAAAAATACAGTGTTATAATAAGAAAAAATAAATCATAGAAAATGTTATTATAAATCTAATATTTAGAACGTTATAATCATGGATTTTTTAACGCAATGTATCCTGTATAAAATATTTATAATTAAACATTATTAAATTGCCATGGTATAACTCCTTCAGTATTGAAATAATTGCAAAAGTTCTCACGAATTTCGATTGCGTTTCGTGTACTATTATTATTACCACATGTAGTAATATCTCTTAACGCGCTAATTTCGATGTCTTCTCTCCAAGAACCAGCAACAAACCCATCAGGTCTATCTTGATCAACAAGTGTGTCATCAACATATTGGTTTACTCCGATATCTTGAATACGAAGAAAGTTGTGCAGACATACAATAGCTTGTACAATTTTCATGGATTTTTCAACCGTACAAATAATTGGTCGTTTTAAAATTCTCCAACGGCTGACCAAAATACCAAAAGTATTTTCAATCGTTTTTCTGGCTCGACTAAGACGGTAATTAAAAATGGTTCGTTCTTGATTTAAAACGCCTTTTCCAGGATATGGCCGAAGTAAGTATTCTGTTAACTGAAATGCTTCGTCTCCTACAAGCACGTAAGGTAAAGGTGGCCCATTTATTGTAAGAGATGCTGGTTTTGGCAAATTCATTTCACGATTGTTGAATTTGTGACCTATTATAGAATCTCTAAAGATTCCACCGTCACTGCGTCGGCCATAACCTCCGATGTCAACAAAGGTGAAAATATAATCTGCATTGCAAATTCCAAGTAATACGATGCTATGGCTATGTTTGTAATTAAAATATGCAGAACCTGCATTATCTGGGCACTGAAAATAATTTTCAAGAATTTATATAATTTATCCTTACTTTATACATATATTATTTTTACATATGTATAATATACCTGAAGAAGAACATGTTTCCCATCGATTGCTCCAATACAATGGTTAAAATTCCATTTTGTCTCGAAGTCACCAGCAATGTTTAGCCAATTATCTGCATTCAAACAAGAGGGAAGTACTTCCTTCTGCAGACAATTCCAAATAGCATCACATGTCTCTTCAATGATGTTACTCGCAGTTGTTAATCCAATAAGGTATTGATATGACATAGATATCATTGAATCACCAGAAGCTAGAAACCTAATCAATATAAAAAATTCCAATTTAATATTTATAGAAAAAAAATTTATGTACAGATAAGATAAATGAAAAGTATATAATAAAATCAATTCTATAACCTTATTACTAACCTTAATGTCAAACATAGTCGTTCTGCTGCAGATATAGGCTCACGAATCACTCTTTGCTTCATAATAAATGGTGCTATTAAAATTAGTAACTCTTCAAATTGTGTAGGAGTCATCCGAAAATAATTCCTGAATCGTGCTTCTTCCAAAATAATAACAGGAAAGATTGCGTGGTAAAATCCATGATTGTATCGTTCTATGAATATTGGATTTACCCAATAACGTTTCCTACGATAATTTCTTCTTTTCTGTTTGTGTAATTCGTTTATCAGAACTGTTGCTAAAAGCTGTTTCTTGCGTTGATTTTGTTCTGATATTTTTTTTGCACACTCGTGTAACCACATATCATATTTCTTTCTAAATGACATGATTAATTCATACGGTGATTACGGTGGTTATATACTGATGCTATAATTTCAGAGTCAGACACTTTTCATGAGTCTTTCACAATGTAGCGTCAACTTGTAGTCAGTGACCCACTTTGACGCTAAAATGAGCGTCAACTGACGCCCGTGAAAAGGCACCTTAAGAATCGTGAAGAGATTGTGTATAAGAACATTGTTGATGTAAGTGGCAATTCGGTAGAATGCTCACAGATGGCATCGGTGTTACAGTTCCTTAGTTATCTTTAGCGTTCAGTGTTTTGCGAACGCTGCGACGACCACGTTGCGCCCCAGCGCCGGAAAAAGGCACGGACCGACGATACTGCGCAAGCGTGAGTGTGTCGGGACGGGCGTGAAGCCCGCCGAACAAGCAATCGTCTTCCGGCTAGCGAGGCGTAGAGTCGCGTTCTTTTACACGGCGTCATATATTCGTTTAATTGCTACGCGATTGAAATCCGCCAGACTATTGAGTCTGAGACAGATCACGAGGACGTCTCCGTAATACCAGATGAAGCATTGCAGCCCTGCTCAGAGGCGATTGAAAGTACCGCGCTCGATACGACGGAAGGACGGACGAACTTAGCCATTGCGACGTGGCCTCGTTGAAACGGAACGAAGCGGCCATCTTGGACATTGCGACGTGGCATCGTTAAAAAGGAACGAAGCGGCCATCCTATCTATCGGAAAAGGTTCTTACGGTTTTGGTCGATGACCATCATTACAAATATCACCGGCGGATGTAATCAGGTAACTTACGGTTTTGGTCGATGACCATCATTACAATTATCACCGGCGGAAGCAATCAGGTAAAATATCGAACTCGTGTAACTTAAAGATCACGTGCGGGATTAATCGGCAATTCTCGGTCGGATTATGATGAACGCAAGGTCATCATAAAATGCGACGAATATCGTCCTCGCATAAGGCACGGAGCGTTGGATATCGTCCTCGCATTTGGCACGGAGCGAAGGATAGCGTCCTCGCATTTGGCACGGAGCGATGGATATCGTCTTCGCATAAAACACGGGACAACGGATGGTATCCTCGCATAAAGGATACGTAGCTAACTAAATCTTATGGACTTAATTATCTGTCTGAACTCGGTTGAACTTAAAGTCATTTGGAATAGTGGCAATCTTCGAATAAAGTCATTGATTATCGATGTGTAGTAATTGAACTTGCTTTATCGATGCACACGTTACTCGGATATTTACGCATAGTTGTATTATCTTGCATTATCGATGCATATGTGATTCGGATATTTACGTATAGTCTGTATTATCTTAACGAATATTGTGATTCAACCCGTGGCTATTTGCCAGCTATTAACGTTTACGAAACAACGTATTACATACAAAAGGTTAATTATCATTTAATTACGTTCGCTATTCATTTATCGAATTATGTCTACTACTTACTTGAAATACTTAAACAACTGGATTGACTGCGGAATTGATTACGGAAGTTACAGTATCAATTAATAGAAAGAAAGTGCATTATATTGAAGTTATAGAATCTCACACAATATTTATATAAACCTAAACATTCTCTCGATTGCTTCACTTTCCATATGTTTATTTGCTTGCTTGTTAAGTGAGAGATATATATATATCTAACGTTTATTTACGACGAATTATTAGTTGACACAGTACTTCAACTTATTTATGCTTTGTATATTCTTGTTATATTATGTAATGTGTTCTGAATAATATGTTTAACTTGTATGATCCTTTCTTCAAACAGACTTAAGTAATGAAATCACTTGAGTGGTTTCTCTGATCGAGATACAAATAACGGAAATCTAAGTTCTTACAATCATTTATGATGAGAGATTAACTTCTTGTAGTGACACATGAGAAAGGATTATGCATTTATAATTCAACATTATCTTATTTTGTATTGATGCTATGTGTTCTCTGTACAACATTTATTACGATATATTCCTAGATTATAACATAACTGCCTTGGAAATACACAATCTCTTTACCGACGTAACAACAAGAAAAGTGTCGTTCCCTATTCTGTAATTCTTGAGCTCAGGCTCCTGCGCGAGCTTGTACGTTTCAAACATACAGTGTAGCGGATAAATTACCTGAGTTTGACAACTTAAATGAAATGGATTTCTTATTAACATCTAATGACGAATTGGATAATATTCAGTTATTTGATTCAACCGTGTAAGCATAATTTTAAACATTTTTTAATGTTAAATGAAATTCTGATATTTTGTATCTACATTTATATAAGGTGTATACTATAAACGTATGGTATTTTAAAGTAATGTCAAATAAAAACAAACATATTTCTGGTATATTTATTATTGGTATATTTTATTGTAAAATATTATATTATAAAATATACGGTTAAAGAAGGTTCTCACACAAAATTATCAAATTTCTACATACGTATCTTTAGGGCCTGCTTCATTAACGTCGGTTAATGAAGCAGGATCTAAAATTCTAAGTATATTTTAATTAAAAATAACATGCACTTTTAATGTAAAATATAGGAGACTGATTTACATTAATAAAATAAATTAAAATTTTAAAGGAAGAAAAATTAAATTACATTTTGTCTCTTTTCTCAATATAATTCTGAATGAAACATTTCTCAATTTTTGTACAATTATTATCAGGCTTATCTCAAAACGTATTTATAAAATATACTGTAATTAGCCTATAAAAAAAATACTCTATAATTATAATTATAACTTAAATATTCTTGATCATTTTATTACTTTTATAGTGAAATAATAGGTTTCGCTGATGGTATAGAAGCTCCTTGGATTGTAGGAACTAAGCAGCAGTATAAAATTTTTAAATTTTTCTTAAATAACGGTAATGGGAAACGTATCCAAATAATGACTTGGAATGATGAAGTAGATAAAGTGTTACCTCATATAAAGTTAAATTACGTAAGTGTTCTCACTATGCGCTTCACTATTCGCTTTTTGGTTCATAATAAAAATGATATTTATATTTAATAATATGGATATATATATATATATATATATATATATGAGAAATTTTCAAAAAATTATCACAAGCAACAAAAGGGTGATTTTTTAGAAGTTATAAAATAAAAATGACAAAAATAAGACTTGTGAATTATATTAAAAGTATATTTTTTCGCTGATTTTATTTGATTAGTTAATTCTTGGTCAATTTAAAAAATAATTTTTTTTTTGGATAATTAACACACACACACACACACACACACACACACACACACACATGAATACATACATACATACATACGTACACACGTACAGACAGCGTCATTAATGCTCTTCGTCTCTTTCTAAGGGCAACAGAAAGAGACGAAGAATGAGTTTCCAAAACGCATCTAATTTTGGGGACCAGGTATTAATGACACCGTCTGTACATACATACATACATGTGTTATATGTCAAATAATTATTGAATTAATAAATAATTAATTAAATTGTTTTATAACAGATTATATTCATTTAGACGGAGTACAAGCTCGTCCACCTAAATCAACTCAACTTAATAATGGCAATGTACCTTACATACTACAAATTCGTTCGAATACAATTGTTTCAAGTTTGGGAAAATATTATGTTCGTCAAATGTAGAACCAGCGTGTGTTCAATTCTCCGATGTCTTACAACACGTCAACACATGTCAGTAAGTTTTGTAGTATCAATTTATAACATAATGAGACATTTATACCATAATAATGCATTTATACTTATAATAAGTTTAGACTGATAAAGTGTATAACAGACAGATAAATAGTGACAAAACAGTCCATCGGTGAATTTTATACTTAATAATATTTATCTTATTTTAGATATA